ACGTACTGTAGTACTGTGTGTACTGTAGTACTGTGTGTGCTGTAGTACTGTGTGTACTGTAGTACTGTGTGTGTGTACTGTAGTACTGTGTGTACTGTAGTACTGTGTGTATAGGGACACTCACTGAGCAGCGGCTTCAAGCGGCGGCGCCATGCGGCAGACGAGCGTGACCGCAGCAGCGATAGCGGACCGCAGCGGCGTGGGCAGCAACTGGCGTGCGGCGGTGCGGTCGGCGAGCTGTGTGTACTGTAGTACTGTGTGTACTGTAGTACTGTACGTACTGTAGTACTGTGTGTACTGTAGTACTGTGTGTATAGGGACACTCACTGAGCAGCGGCTTCAAGCGGCGGCGCCATGCGGCAGACCAACGTGACCGCAGCAGCGATAGCGGACCGCAGCGGCGTGGGCAGCATCTGGCGCGCGGCGGTGCGGTCGGCGAGCTGTGTGTACTGTAGTACTGTGTGTACTGCAGTACTGTAGTACTGTACGTACTGTAGTACTGTGTGTACTGTAGTACTGTGTGTGCTGTAGTACTGTGTGTACTGTAGTACTGTGTGTGTGTACTGTAGTACTGTGTACTGTAGTACTGTACGTACTGTAGTACTGTGTGTACTGTAGTACTGTGTGTGCTGTAGTACTGTGTGTACTGTAGTACTGTGTGTGTGTACTGTAGTACTGTGTGTACTGTAGTACTGTGTGTATAGGGACACTCACTGAGCAGCGGCTTCAAGCGGCGGCGCCATGCGGCAGACGAGCGTGACCGCAGCAGCGATAGCGGACCGCAGCGGCGCGGGCAGCGACTGGCGCGCGGCGGTGCGGTCGGCGAGCGCTCGCAGCTCGTGGAAGGTGTTGCGCGTGTAGGGATTGCGACGGGACGCGTAACGCCACGTCACGAAGTAGTAGTACACGAACGGCGTCAGCAGGCTGCAGTATGCGCTGCAAACATATTGGAATGGACGTCAATAACTTATTTCACATGTGATGCAATCAAAATCCATAATTTGCTGGTTCATATCCGGCTCGAAGGACCAATGCCATATAACATTGAATGTTAAAAATGTTTATGACAATGCAAAAATGTTCTGAGTGAACTTATCAGTCGCAGGATTCGCCTGGACGTGGATGTCGCAGGATGCGCCTGGACGTGGATAGCACAAGACCGGTCTTGAATATCCTTGGGACCTTTGTCCAGCGGTAGACTTGTTTTGGTTGGTAAACTCACTCGGTGGCCTAAACATCTCATGAAGGTCACAGGAAGCATCTAGATTCGAGTAGCACAAGAACCGCCGTGGAAATCATTTGTAGCAGTGATCGTCTTGTGTTGACACGAAGCGTAAACCCATAGTGTAAAGCCATAGTGTAGGCAGGCCTCGATAAACGTAGATCGTGCAAGTCACGAGAAACGAATGCGAGCAGTGCAGGAACAGTCATTGTAGAAATCCTTGGGGCATTCTACTAACAGTGGACGTTTTTGTTTGACCGGCCGTGGAAATCCTTCCGGCTTGCCATTGCAGTAGAAGACGCCTATTAAATCAAAGCACAAACGATGGTGTACTCACAACAGCGCCATGAGCACGACGACGGGGAACAGCACGATCTCGGCGAGCGCGGCGGCGCGCAGGATGTTCCGCGACTGGAACTCCACCAGCGAGATCAGCAGGCGCGCCACCCACATCGAGTTCTGGCCGAGCGTCTGAAATACAACACATTTTGAAACCTTAATGCCTTCGCTGTCACCAGAGTAAATACAAATGAGTAGGTCATCTTCATAGAAACGCACCGAGCGCGGTTTGTATGTGAGCGCGCCAATACGTATGCGGCGCGCACGT